ATCTCCTCATTTTTAAACTGTGGATCAAAAGCATCCAAGGTGAAAAACTTTTCCCTGCACTTGTTTGAAACCTTGGCACAACATTACTTGTATAATTTAAATACAGACCAGGACTCAGCAGCAGCCAAACCTGCACCCTGCTGATTAGCACGCCTCACAGTATCTAACAGACGTTTGACTTAAGAACCCAAGAATTTCATTGCTCAAAAACTTTATTAGATCCCTAAGCCTAAAAATCATTTTCAATAATGTGTGTGCTGCTTTGGGGCCTCAAAAAAGCTACTCTGGGAGCTAGGAAACATTTCCTAGGAGGCAAAAATGTGATCAAAAACATATTTGATAAAAAGGAGAAGGGGTAATGATGGGTTTTAACTTCAATTTTATTTAATTTAATCTCAGAAGCATGCTCTAAGTTTAAGAGAGGGGAACAACTATTGGATTTTGTTTTGCATCTTTTTTAAAACAAAATGATTCTCATATAGGGTTTGTGGTTTTTTTCCCCCTAAACCAAATAAACTATATATTGGAATGACCTTGTAACGGGTTTCTGTGGCTCTTTAATCACCAGTGGCTGCTAAATGAAGCATATCTATTTTCTCTGTTACATTACTATTGGCAACCAGGTCTTCAGTAAGTGCCCAGAAATATTTCCATGGCAACAAAAAGCATTCAGTATTGCTACTGTTTTGTGCCAATTTAGCTTTAAAATATTCTATTGTGGAGAGAAATATGGAACATTAAGTGAAATAAAGTCAAGATGCAATGTTCTGAAAAGAATATAAGGATAAACAGGAAACATGTATTTTGTAAAAACGGGGGAAAAAAATGCCAAATGGAAGGGAAAATGTTCAAAGCTAATATTGATGCTACTGAATGCCTTTGCTGAATGTCAGCAAGTCCATATGCTCGCTTACATTTTTACTTAGGGTTAGGTAACAAAGCTAACAGAAGCAAGAATACCTCAAACAACTTCTCTTGATCATTTTAATCCATGACTGAAATTTCAAGTTGCCAGGGTATTACAGCCTCTCTGCATGTCTAGGTTACCATCAGAAGAGTTCATACTCTTGATGTCAGAGAATGAATCTATAAGGAAAAATAGGAAATAAAGAGTTGAAAAATTAAATACAAAGAGCATGTGTGTGTTTTGGAAGTGAAGGGTCACTTAGAAGAGCAAAATGAGTTCCTCCACATCAAAGATCTTGTGGAAGACATTTTCAGATCACACTTCAGCACTTTCTCTCCTAGGCACCAGCAGCGTAGGTGCTGGGGAGCTCTGTAAGGCCAGCTTCAGTCCACAACAGCTCCAGACAGCTTTCTGAGAAGGAAAGCAAATAAATACTAAGAGAGAGTCCAACAGCAACTTCATCAGTACCTGTTCTCAGCTGGGACAGAGGTTCAGAGTGATCCTGTCCTTTAGCTGCAGTGATGGGTTACTCTGGCATCTGACTGTCACTCTATGTGTCTCTCACCAGGAAAATTCATCTGGTCCACCAAATGTTCTTAAGGACCCTCTTTCTCAGACGTCCCTGCAGACAAGATTGCAGGTAAGAAACTGCTCTGATACTGACAGCAGCCCATTCCTGGTCCCCATTTCCCTGAGAGTTCACCACCTTTTCTCCCATCCACTGTGAGCAAGGGTCTAGTTCAGAGACAGGACAAAGATCTTAGCAGGGCCTGTAGCGATAGGACAAGAGGTAATTAATGGTTTTAAACTAAAAGAGGGTAGGTTTGACTAGGTATAAGGAAGAAATTTTTTACAATGAGTGTGGTGAAACACTGGCACAGGTTGCCCAGAGAGGTGGTAGAAGCCCCATCCTTGGAAACATTCAAGGTCAGGTTGGATGGGGCTCTGAGCAACCTGATCTGGTTGAAGATGTCCCTGCTCACTGCAGGGGGATTGGACTAGATGGCCTTGAAAGGTCCGTTCCAACACAAACCATTCTATGATCTGGAGGTCACCGTTGGTATAACACGTTTGGCACATGGCTGCTCCCCAGCCTTCTCTGAGGAGCACCAGGATTTGCTGTGAATTGCTCTAAGAGTCCCTCTTGGGGGTACAGGTTCTGCAGGAGACAAGGTTGCACCCTGGATAGCACTTGTCCAGGAGGACCCATGGCCCAAGCATTACCTTGAAGGACACTATATGCCCTGCTCCATGGCGTTTGCGCACACACTGGACACATCATCCAAGCACACACAGTAAACCCAGCCCTGCAGCATTGTCTTGGTTCCCATGAACAAACCCTGTGAACAGGTTATCGCACAGGCAATGTAGAGGGGTACCAGAGGGTATGGGATCTGTACAGGTTAGAGGTTGGGCTCCAAGAGATACATCTCTGGGGTGCTTAACCTGAGAATGGGCAATCACTCGTTTGGAATATGAAACAAGCAGTCCCAGTTTGGGAGACAGAACAGCTAGACCAAAAGCTCTTTTTAATTACTTACTCCCTGGCCATAACAGTGTGAGGAATAGTAATAAAGAAAAGAGCTAATTTTAACATTCATTAAAGAACACCGTCAAGGTTTATACCCTCTCAGTCTGATATTCCTATTAAATACAAAAACAAACAGGCTGATCTTCCGCAGTCTGCACAGAAAAGGCTAAATGTGTAAGACTTCCCTAGAAGCCAAGAGTGATTAAAAACTCTCGGTCATTATAAAACAAACATTTTCAAGAGCATCTACTGCCTGCTTCAAAAAAAGGAATTTAGATATTTGAAAGCAAATTCTGGAGTTCCTCAGTGAGTCTCAAGTTCTTCATCAGCTCCATACTGTAGACACACTCCCCCCACCCCTTTCCTCCCTTATCCCCCTTCCTAGGATGTTGGTAAAGAGTGCTTTAACTCAGCAAGACCCAAGGATGGTGTCAGCAGGACTGCAGCTTTCCTGCTTGTGCTTGGGACATACATTTCCATCAGTCCTCTCTGACCCACGTAACTTCCAGCCACCTTTATGGCAATATTTAGTGAGTACAAGTCACATGGCTGAAATTCAGTGCTGAACACAATCGCCTGAGAAGCTGTTCATGTCACTTAAAGATCAGAAGTCATAGTTAGGCCTATTTAAAACTGAAAATATCAAATTCAGTTCTCCTTCCCATAATCTCCTGCCTGCTGTCCTCTTCAGTCTTATTTGAAAAGCCTGTGGGGGTGGTGGGAGGGGAGGAAAGCGATTTGGGAGCCTTTCATCCATAAAATCATGAGATATGGCTGGCTTTTTAGTACAGCATTTCACAGCACATGGCACAGTAACATCTTGAGATTCCTGGCACAAAGAAACAAGTTTGAGATTATATATAACTTTAATAGCAATGACGCAAAGGCAGATGGTTCTCAAAGCAAAGGCTTAAGGCTAAACACTCCTTTTGAAGGGTCCTGCTACCAGAAACAAAACATGGGGGGTGGCGAAATACTCCTTGCTACAGCAACAGGGCCCGATTGCCTTCTAACACACGGCATTTCACCCTGGAAATTTCCACTTATTTCAGTGAGATTAGTGTCACAACAAGAGAAGAATTGGAAACAGAAAAGGAAAGGTTAGATTTTTCTTTGGGATTTAGGGAGTTTTATTTTACCTGCGGGAAACAAAGACAACACAGAACATAATGAGCAGATTAGCAACTAAATCAAATCAATACCAGAAAAGAGAGGCCTGGGTAATACTGTCAGGGTGTGTGCTGGCTGCTTACCTGCAAAACTTGCCTTGCCATTTTTACTTTTTAAGGAGTCACCCAAGCTGAGGTTGCACTCATGATCTCCCATCCTTATAGAGGGCTCGCCTTCTTCCTCAGCGATGGGAGGAAGCTGATCAAGCAGCTGGAGATTTTCATTCGTCCAGTAGGATCCATTGGCTGTCAAAGATCTGGTGCTTTCAACACATTGCTCTGGTAAACTGCTGGTATTTTTAACTTGTTTTTGCCTCTGCAGACCCATGTCAGAGCCATGAGGGAGGTCGTGTGAAGCAAGATCAGGACTCCCAATGTGACCATCTTCTCTAGGATATATGTATTCCTCATCCCAGAGGTCCAGGTGTTGTTCATCATCTGATGCCTCAGAATAATCCTCATAAACTCCTCCATTATTCTCCAAGTCCCGGTTCCTCTCTTCTTCTGACTTACGACCCACTCCACTCAAATTCAGCAGTGAAGCAGATATAGAGTCTCCTGCTTGTTGGATAGCTTCGTATATTTGAGACATCCAAGAAGACAGTGGCTGAAGGAAATTCTGAGCAGCCTCAGAAGCCATGTTTAACACTATGCCAGTATCTGGTGATCAGTTGTTCAGTTTTGCCAGCATGTCACTTATAATTCAGGCAGCTACAGAATAAGCACCATAAGAGATTACTGTAAATTGCTTGTCCATCAACACCTGTCGACACACTATCTACATAAGATGTCTAGAGCTGAGAGAAGAAATGGAAAAAGCACTTCTACCCATTGAGAATACCACTAGAAATCCAGAAATGATGGACAAATTACACACATTCCTGCAGAGATCTGGAAAGCTTTCATTCAATTGCTAAACCTTATATGAAAATAAAAACATAAAACATCAGAACAGAAGTACCTTTCCTGAAGCGCACACATTCTGGTTACAGCTGTCAACAGACCTGGTAAAAAAAAGTACAAACCAATCTGCAGTCAAAAATCAGAAATAATCTCCTGGCCCTGACTTCCATTCTATCCTTAGCATTAGCATGGCCAGGTGGGAAAACTGAAGGGTGGAGAATTTGGGGAGAATTATATTTTGATTTATAAAAGTGACAGGCCTAAGGCATGCAGAACCAGCCCATGGCAGACAACTATCTCAAACGCTTTGCTCCAGAAAGGCTCTGAAGAAGCCCTCTCTGACCACAGAGTAACACAGGGTTGTTTTGCCCTTCACAGAAATGGAAAAAAAAAACCCACAAACCAAACCAAACAAACAAAAAAAAATAGAGGGGGTGGAATAGTGTAGGTATGAAATTACTGGGAACAGAAGCAAGTTAACAAAAGCAGTGGTATCATGTCCATATGATATGTTTTCTCAAAACTTATGTAAACCCAAAATAAAAACATAACTTGCAGAAAGTTAAGGCACCTTTTTGCTCAATATACATCTTCCCACATCATCACAAGACAGATATTCTTTTAGGAACTCTGAGAAGCAGGAGAAGCCTACAAATGGGATGACGGGTTTAGGAAGAAAGAATTAAATAGTTGCAGATTTTAGGCTAAAAGACGACTAAAGAGAAGCAGAAAGAAGCTTCAGAAATTAATTATCAGTGTCTTCCTGAATTTAGAGGTCTAGGAGCAATCAAACTGTGAAAGGGTAAATACAGTATAAGCAGCAAGAAAACAAGCTCAGCAGCAAGGTGAGTTACCTTGTTGAAATGGTCTCCAGAGAAATGTAGTGGGAATCACAGTGTTTTGGATTTTTAAATGAAGCATGGACTAAGGAGATCCTACCTTGCTTGGTGAACGGCTTTTTGACAGATGAGATCAGTGACTTAAGAACTGTTCACCTTTTGAATCACTTATGCTAAATAGTTTTGTTCAGCGATGCTGACTTGCACTGCAGATACTTCCAACAAGTTTACGATCAGCTTCAGTATGTACTAAGAATTTCAGTCCTAACAAGGGCAGTAAATGAATGTAGGTTACTAAAGCCATTTTAAAAGCAGAAGGTTGTTACAAACATTCTGGGCTTGGGGCACACACTGTTCCAGTATCCACCTGTCAACTGCTGGCCTCTGGTTCAGCCTCTGGGACATGGGGAATGCTCCCTGCCATGCATTAAATCTTTGGGAAAGAACAGACAATGTCATGGTGTAAATTCCCAGGTGAGCTGTTCCCTTCATTGATTCTTCTCTTTCCAGCCCTGCCCTTAGTGATGTCCCTCTGCTTTGTGCAACTTATTCACTCATAGACCTAAAGTGATTACATACTCCAAACAGCACGTTTTTAGCATAATGCAGATTTGCTACTGGTAAATCACAGCACCAGAGAAGTCATTGCAAGGAGATGATACTTGTAACAGTGACATTCTCCCAGGCATGGAAGGAGATAAATTAAGATGGGTAAGTAGGGGATCCTAGATACATTTTTAACCTGTTATTTATGTATGATTTCTGATGAAAGGAGAAGTTCACAACACTCTGCCTCCGCTTCAGCAGCAAGATACGTGACAGCAGTAGCCCTTGGAGGGATGCAGGCATCCAGGAGTGATAGCTAACCAATGCAGATAAAACATATGGGTGCTAAAATGAAGCACTGATCCGTTCTAAAAATCAACAGAACGTAGACTTGTGATATTTGCATAGGGAATAATTAGCTTCTCTTGTTATTAGATTTCAGAGCTAACACCCAATTGGTCCAACAGAACCATCCCACTTCTCCCGGATGCTGTGGCTGACTGCACCATGGCTCAAGAAAATTTCATGGTCCTGCACAAGAGACTCCTCATTAGGGAGGTTGGTATCACAACCGTAAAGACAGAGGGAGTTTTTCAAGGAGAACTATTACTTTAGTCACAGAATTAAAGCAGGGATCTACAGTCATCTGCAGGGCTTGGATGATAATCACCCAGACATACGAAGAGGCAGATAAGATTTGAACATGCATCTTTCAGATAACAAGTAGTTGCCTTGATCATCTTGCTCTAAGTAGGCTGGGGGGAAACACGATGCATACACACATGTATACACACATCCACAATTCTACACAAGACCTGGAAATTTGTCTGGATTAAAGATGGAGAATCCCAACAAATGGTTTCATTGCAGTTTATAGACAATGGATAGACATTGTCTATTTTTTCCACCGAAAAAATCTGAACTACTTTGCAGTAACACCTCCAAGACACCCGCACAACTTGCAGTCCAGGGCCTACCTAAAAGAAATGCAATTTCCAGGGTGCCTGGCTCTGTTTAGCCTTTGCTTGGCTTTTCCTCCCATCCTCTCCCTCTTACCAAAGACTCCACAGTCAGTGATATGCTGAACAACTGGAGTTCAGCTGAATTATAAATGGCTTATTTTTGGTCTTGCAGCAGATGGATAAAATGTGTAACAAGCTGCAGACAAGTTTAGGCGGGCAACATTTTTACAAACTCAACAGAGGATCAAAGAGGGCTGAGCTCTGTTACAGGCTTGCTGTTTCCCAGGAGCTCTCTCCCTTAATTAGCAGGCACTGCTCTAACCGAGTGTTTATGATACATTTCACAACGTGGCCTTTTCAACATAACGGATTTTTACTTTTGAATTCTCTAAAAATTTTGACTTGCATTAGGAAAAAAAAAATAAATAAAAGAACTGAGAAGAGCATTTAAAATGTGTGGGAAAGAAAAATCCATTTCTTTTTAAAAGCATTCATCAAAAAAGAGAGAGAAAAAAAAAAACTGTTTAGCAAATCCACTTCAAGTTCCATCTTCTAAAAGTAACCACAAGAATTTTCACCCTGAATCGCCTGCTTAACTCAAAGTTGTTTGTTTTTTTTTTCCTCTTGGAAAATCAGATAGCTAAAAGGATCAATGTTAAGCCTCTCACAGAAACCATCATAGCCTTTACTACAATCTATATTTCCTTGTCTTGATAGGATCATTATTCCTGAGTAGCGTTCCCATTGAGAGGTGCAATTACTGTATGGCTAAAAAAAGAAGTCTATTAGCAGAGTTTCAAACACTACCACAATGCAGAGGTTTGTAATATTAGCAAAGTGTCTTTCAATTTTCTTGATATGCAGGATCCTAAAAAAATTGCCATCAGATGTGCGTTTCTTACAATGATTTCCCTTATTCAAGCTGTTGTAGAGTGTAGGCACAAACTCCCTCTTCTTCAGTCACTTTTTGTGTAGCCCTTGCAAAAGTTTTCTATCAAACTCCTCCCTTGTAGGGAGGCTTGAGGACCACAGGTTGAAAACAGTGTCCCAGCATATAATAACTGAACAATTTTCAAGTGAGTGCTTATTTCTGAAACACTAGATAAGCAAGCAAGTGGCTTTTTTAGCAGTTTGGGCAAGTTGCTGAATACGACTGTCCACAACTGAATGTCTGAGCACTGTGCTAGGTCACCAGTTTAGACAGGAACACTACTACCCAGAAGAATGATTTCTGCTTTCCCCACTTGTCAGAAATTTTAATTAAGCCATTCCTAATGATTTACCTTTATTTCCTGATCTCATACAGAGAGCAGCAGCCCCCACGCCCACCTGGCATGCCATGGATCGTATCCACGGACAGGAGCTTTATTTGTGTGCACACCTAGGAAAAGCAGTGTCACAGATCCACCATGAAACCTTCCTCCAAGCTTAGGAAGAAAGACCTAAACCAAGATGTGAATCTAAACTGATGCCCAGACCATCAAGGGTCAGCACAAAAGGCAAGTCCATTTTGCTGTGCATGAAAGGAGGAAGAAGGGAGGGCTTGGAGAAGGAAGATGATTTAATAACTCCTTTGAAGCTACTGAAAACTATAATGAGCCTGATCTTCCCTTCAGAGTGGAGCCCAATTAGCACACGTGTAAAATAGCAGAGGGCAGATTAGAAACATACTCTGTTGAAGGCAGGCAGCAGCAGAACTGGGCCAAGAAATCCTCTGTCCTAGTTCTGGGAACAATCTGGACTCTGCTCCTCCTGTATTTGCCAGAATCACATTTAACAAAGTCCTTGTGTCCTCATAGTGAAGGATAACCAAACATTGCTACGAAGACGAAAGTGTATTTCCAGTTAAAACTGTCACAGTGCCAAAACCAGCCTGTGCACTTGAAGTTGTTCAGTTGATCAGAGCCTCTTGCAGAAGCATTATGAGGAAAGTTCACAGACAGTACCCAAGGTTCACATCAACTGTGCGCATCACTGCTAACCAAACCTCCCTAAGGTAAAACAAAACAGAAATACAGAACATCTTGGTACGTTTTTGGCCTATGTGCCACAAGAATGCTATTTATGTAGCTGAATTTAATGCAAAAAAAAAAAAAGAGAGAAGACAGGGGCATTTTCCAAGTGATTATGTGCTCTGTAATAACAGTTTTCAGCTGATGATTCAGAAACTCCAGGGCATTCAAGGAAGATCTAATAGTTTACGCCAATAAATTACACACATCTCATTAGAAACATTAATGGGTTACAAATCAACAAGGCAATAAACCCACTGCTGCAACGCATTGGTTCTGCAAGCCCTAAAAGGGTGAAGTGAAAACAAAGATGAGATCAGACAGACAGCAATGCTCCCTGCTGCATGGGGTTTAGCCTACGCAGAGGAAGCCTGCAGACTTATT